TATAGATCATGTGCATAATGCTGAAAAAGGTTTTGGATAACCAAATCAATACGAATTATTTTTTAAAATTAGTTTTTAGAGAGAGAAAGGGAGTAGGGAAGAGAGAAACATCCATGTGAGAGGGAAAGATTGATAGGTTGCCTCCTACACGCCTCCTAGTGGAGATCTAGCCTGAAACCTGGGAATGTGCCCTGACCAGGAAAAGACCTACAACCTTTTGGTGCACAGGGTGACGCCCGCCCAACTAACTGAGCCACACCAGCCAGAGCTCAATATGAATTCTTAATTCAAAAGAACTTAACTTTTAAAATATATTTTATTGATTTTTTACAGAGAGGAAAGGAGAGGGATAGAGAGTTAGAAACATCGATGAGAGAGAAACATCGATCAGCTGCCTCCTGCACACTCCCCACTGGGGATGTGCCTGCAACTAAGGTACATGCCCTTGACCAGAATTGAACCCGGGACTCTTGAGTTCGCAGGCCAATGCTCTATCCACCGAGCCAAACCGGTTAGGGCAAGACCTTAACTTTTAAAACCACTAGAACATAAGCCCTACTTTAAGATTTATGTTCAAAAGCTATCGTTATACTTATTGATAAATGTTAATAGCATTTTCATTATAGTTAGAAAAAGGCAATAATTTTTATTATTATTATTGATTAACATTGATTGCTTTGTTGGTGCTAGCCAACATACATAACCAAGAAAAGAAAAAAGCAAATAACCTGAAATTAGAATAAAAGGCAAAATTAATATTATTAGCAAAAAAATATATGATTTTAAATATTTTAAGAGCCCTTAAAAGCTTCATGCCAAAAAATTACAAACAGTAAGGAAATCTGATGTGTGGACTTGCTTAAAAATAATAGGTAAAAATTAGCTGTCTACTAAACTACAAAAGTCAGGAAAATGTGATAAAAAGGAAAATGCCATATAAACTATTTAATGAAAAATACTGGAAGTAAATTTATTACTTTAAAATTGTACAAATGAACATAAAATAAGACATACATAATGGAAAAAGACACTATTCAAGGATAAAAGACGGTTTAAAGATGTAAGTTATCTCTCTATACATTTACTGTGATTCTGTTGAAATATATATATTTAAAATTGGTTTCAGAGAGAGATGAAGAGGAAAGGAGAGAGAGAGAGAGAGAGAGAGAGAGAGAGAGAGAGAGAGAGAGAGAAGCAAAACATTGATGTGCTAGAGAAACATCCATCAGTTGCCTCCCATAGGCACCCAACCGGGGATCAACACGAAACCGCTTTGATGTATAGAGCAATGTTCAACCAACTGAGCAACCAGTGGGGCTAATGTACTATATTTTAACATAGTAGGTTCTTGAAAAGCTCATTTTAAGTTTTTTAAGGCATAATGAAGTACAATGATTGATAATATATTTTTTAAAAAGAAATGTAATATAATATTGTGGACACTATAAGTACTCAAGTATATTATTAAAGAGGGATATTTTATATGTAGTTTGAGTGGAAAGACAGATTAGAGAATATAGGAAAAATTTAAACACATAAGAATGTATTATATGCTAAAGGTAATATTTCATATCAATGAGAATATATTGATTTATTCACTAAATAGGATTAGAAAAATTCAGTAACCATTTGGAAAATAAAAATTTTTATAAATTTGAGTTTCTACCTCATTTATTACACACACACATACAGACACCAAATAGACCCAATTTAAAAAAAGGAAACTATATAACTTATGATGGAAGCTTTATTTTATAAACTCAAAATAAACAAAGCATTTTATTAATATCAAACAAGATCACGAGTTTGAGCAAGTCAACTATTATCCATTTAAACACCCATAAGTATCATAAATTAAGTTAAAACAAAAATTAAATCTAAGATGAATATTGCAAAACATATGACAAGAAATGAACTAATATTCTCAACTTAAAAGTGAAAAAAAACTTACTTAATACAAATATAAGAAGTCTCAAAGAAATAAAATAAGCACATGACAATCATAATACAAGATGTGTAATCCTTTGTTGTCTTTGTATTTATAACAAGAAAAAATGAAGTTATAAAATTTTAAATAATATTGGTCATCAGATTTATATATTTAAAAATCTAAATAATGTTTAATGCAGAAGAAAGAATGAGCAAAAAGGTTTTTTTTTTTTAAATATATTTTATTGATTTTTTACAGAGAGGAAGGGAGAGAGATAGAGAGTTAGAAACATCGATGAGAGAGAAACATCGACCAGCTGCCTCCTGCACACCTCCCACTGGGGATGTGCCCACAACCCAGGTACATGCCCTTTACCGGAATCGAACCTGGGACCTTTCAGTCCACAGGCCGACGCTCTATCCACTGAGCCAAACCGGTTTCGGCTAGCAAAAAGGTTTTTAAATCTATATTTGGTACAACATAAGTTGATAGAGCCTCTTTGGACTGAAATTTTCAATCTTTACAAAAATTTTTAAAAAATGTTCTTTGACTCAGTAATAATTCTTATGAAATTTTTCCTAGAGGGTTACTAAAACAGTAGCATGGGTGTGTATGAAATATTATGTACATAATTATTCCTTAGTGAAAACTAAGAAACAATTTAAATATGCATTGGAAAAAAATCAAAGTCTTTCAATAATAAGATTTTTGTCCATATACCAATAAAACACAATGCAAGCTGCTATTTATAAAAATTTGACAACTTTATAACACATGATTAGAATAATCACAAGGATATTTTCTTAAGTAAAAATAATCATAGAATATTTTGTATAGTTTCTTAAATATATGTTTTTAAGAGGGGTTTAGAGAAACTGTCCATTTTTCTCACAGTTGGAAAGAATGCATTCTGTCTCCTGGCAGAATTCCAACTTAAACAACACACATATAATGCCTGCAATTTCTGTGCTTTCTTTTTTTAATACAGAGGCATTTGTGGTTGGTGTCTCAGAAATTTTAAAAAATGTAAATTTAACCATGAGTTATTCTGGGGAACTTGTAGAGAGAAATAGGAGAAAATAGTAGATTTTAAAATCTTATTTTTAATAATTTACAAAGTACTTATTTTACCTGTCCTGAGAAAATATATGAGGAAAAAACACTAATATCACTCCTACATAGAAAACACTCTAACGTCTACATTAAACATAAAAATACCAGAACCCTTTCTGCTTTTTCTCACTCTTTTTTCTTTAACAGCATCTGCATTTTTCCTTACTCGGTGCATTGCTGTAGCTCTGGGAATCCGTTTCATTGTAATGGTAACGATATGGAGTGCCATCATCATAAATTGTAAGTGATAACAGAGACATAGACACCATTGCTGATATAACAAATTTAATACATTACTTTGATTAATATTCAGCAGGACAGAAACATAAACTAGCAACATTTAATGTGCCTTTATATTTTAGCTATTAGTCCAGAAACTTGTCATATATTTTTATTTTTGCTTAACTATGTCACAACACATAACTTTCCAATAATTATGATTATTTTAACAGCTTTATTCAACCAAGCAGTGCCAATTTCCTTGAATGGTAAGAGAAACTTTTCTAATATTTGGAAGCACAAATTGCATGTATCTGTGTATACAGGGGTTTAGGCATGTATCCAATGCTGCCGACAGGAAAGTTTATAAGAAAGATCATGTATTATAGAAATCTACACTTGAAACCTATATAATCTTATTAAACAATCCATCCCAATAACTGTAATAAAAAGAAAATGTAAAAGAAAATGAATTGTTGTCCACAATTCACTATTCCTTTTTATTTTATTTATTTTTTAAAAATATATTTTATTGATTTCTTACAGAGAGGAAGGGAGAGAGATAGAGAGTCAGAAACATCAATGAGAGAGAAACATGGATCAGCTGCCTCCTGCACACCCCTACTGGGGATGTGCCCGCAACCAAGGTACATGCCCTTGACTGGAATCAAACCTGGGACCTTTTAGTCCTCAGGCCGATGCTCTATCCACTGAGCCAAACTAGTCAGGGCCAATATTGTTTTTTAAATTTTATTTTATTTTTTACAATGAAGGAGTAATTTTAAAAAGTAGAAAACATAGTTTTGGCATATCTATGTATAGAGATATGTCATTGGGTATGACCTTAATAGTCTAATATTTTGAATTTTAGAGTTAGAATAAAAAAAGTATTTACCCTGCCTCGAAAAAAATCTAATATAATATTTAGACATGTGCAGAATTAATAACATATTCTCCCTTTCTAGAAAGTTACTGTGGCCCATGTCCTAAAAACTGGCTATGTTACGGAAACAACTGCTACAAATTTTTTAATGAGAGCAAGAACTGGTTTCAGAGCCAAGCTTCCTGCATGTCTCAAAATTCTAGTCTCCTGAAGATATACAGCCAAGAGGACCAGGTGAAGTATTGTTTTAATTCATCTGCCTATATTGAGTCCTACCATATGTGGCAACTCTCTGGAATATGAACCTGAAATATAATAGAGGTACAAGGCTCTGATACATCAAATCCATATTCTTCTGTATTAAAAATAAAAAATCACAAAAATTTCCGGAATTATATAGTATATGTGTTGTTGAAGTTGGAATTCTGAAAGAAGACAGAATGCAGTTTCCTCAACTGTGGGGAAAATGATTAAATGATTATAGCCTTGTATTTAATACAATTCTGAGAACTGACTTTATTTGTGATTTCCAATAGGATATCTTTAAATTGCTAAAGTCCTACCATTGGATGGGACTGAAAAAGAATTCCAAAAACGAAACCTGGCAGTGGGAAGATGGCTCCATTCTGGCTCCCGATCAGTAAGTCTGTACCTATAGTAGGTCTCTAGTTGTGGATTTGCCTCTAAGCTATTCCTATGATCACTGAACTACCACATTTTCCTTGACACAATGCCAGGACATCCCATGTGCCAGAGGTCGGCAAACTGTGGCTCGCGAGCCACATGTGGCTCTTTGGCCCCTTGAGTGTGGCTCTTCCACAAAATACCGACTTCTGAGCATGGGCCACGAAGTTTCAATCGCACTGTATGTGCGTGTCTGCACGTGATATTTTGTGTTAGAGCCACACTCTAGGGGCCAAAGAGCTGCATGTGGCTCACCAGCTGCAGTTTGCCAACCACTGCCATATGCTAATAGAGTCAGTCCAAAACTGCCATATCCTAATGGAGTCAGGCCTAGATTTAGTACATTGGGAAGCAGCCAGTACCCATAAAAATGAGTAAAATTAAGTGTTTGCTATGTGCTAAATACTGTGCAAGCTACTTGCTATGAACATATGTGTGCAAGACATTGTATGAGCAGAGGCGCTTCTTTTTCTTACATAAATACGTAGGAGAGAAACAGATGGATCTTATAATAAATGCTAGAGGTCTGGTGCACAAAAATTTGTGCACTCGGGGGGGTCCCTCAGCCTGGCCTGTGCCCTCTCGCAGTCTGGGACCCCTCAGGGGATGTCCACCTGTTGGCTTAGGTCCGCTCCCAGGGAGATCAAGCCTAAGCTGGCAGTCAGACATCCCTCTGGCAGCCTGGGAGCCTTGGGGGATGTCCACTTGCCAGCGGGGAGCAGGCATAAGCTGCAGTCAGACATCCTTAGCACTGCTGAGGAGGCGGGAGAGGCACCCGCCACCGCTGCTGTGCTGACAGCCAGCAGCCTGGCTTGTGGCTGAGCAGAGCTCCTTCTGTGGGAGCGCACTGACCACCAAGGGGCAGCTCCTGCATTGAGTGTCTGCACCCTGGTGGCCAGTGTGTCATAGGTGGCCAGTCATTCCCAGTTGTTCTGCTGTTAGGGTCAATTTGCATATTACCTTTTTATTATATAGGATAGAGGCCTGGTGCATAGGTGGGAGCCGGCTGGTTTGCCCCTGAAAGGGTGTCCTGGATCATGGGGAGGTCCTCCTGGGGTGCCTGGTCAGGCTGGGTGAGGGGCTGATGGCTGTTTGCAGGCTGGCCACACCCCCCAGCAGCCCAAACTCCAGCCTCTCCTTTTTTTCTTTATCTTTTTTTTTCTGGGATTAATTTATCTTCTATAATTGAAACTTTGTAGCCTTGAGCAGAGTGGAGGGCCAGCCAAGGCAGGCGGGAAGCTTGGCTTCCTCTATCGCCAGGGGCAACCCAAGCCTCCTGCTCTCTCCAGCTCCATGGCCAATGCCATCTTTGTGACTGTGTGATGGAGTAATGGTTAATTTGCATATTACTCTTTAATTAGATAGGATATGTTTAACTATTTAAGAGACTGCCAGACTATTATCCAAAAGGCTTGTGCAATTTTACAATCCAATTAGCAGTGTGTGAGACTTAAGAGTTGCTCAACATCTTGGTCAATAATTGTTATGATCAGTTTCTTAAATTTTATCCATTCTAATGTGTATAGTGGTTTGAATTTTGCATTTTCTTCATGACTAATGATATTGAGCATCTTTTCTGTGTTAATTTAACATTCATTTTTCAATTTTTTATTTAATTAATTTCTGTTCTGATCTTTATTATCTTCTCACTTGGGGTTAACTTTTCTTTCTCTAGTTTCTTATCACAAAAACTAATATATGGGTAGGATCCATATATTAGATATTTTCTAATCAAAGCATTCATGCTATTAATATTTGAGATGATTTTGCAGCATTCCCACATTTCTGAGCTATTTATTTTCATTTTCATTCATTCCAAAATAGTTCTAAATTCCCTTTTACATTGTTCTCTGATGCATGAAATTTTCAAGTGTTAGTTTATAACATTTGAGAATTTCCCAGAGATATTTGTTATCAATGTCTAATTCCATTTTGATCAACAAACATACTTTGTGACTTGAATATACTTGCAATTATTGATATTGGTTTTTATAAATCGGACTCTGGTCTAACTTTTTTGTAATGTTGACTCTATTACAGATGTCCCCCATTTTATCTCCCTTTTCTTTTCTCCACCCTGCCTCCACCCCATCTAGGCCTTCATCACATTATTTTTCATGTCCATGGGTTAAGCCTATCTATACTAATAAAAACATAATATGCTAATTAAACTGGACAGCTGAATGACCTTCTGGACATCATTTCAGACATCCATCTGGACTAAGCTGAGGTGGCAAGGGCTGAGGCAGAGGCGGTTAGGGATGATCAGGCAGACAGGGGAGCAGTTAGGGGCATCAGGCTGGCAGGCAGGCAGAGTTAGGGGTGATCAGGCAGACAGTCAGAGTGGTGAGGGGCATCAGGCAGGCAGGGGAACTGTTAGGGGCATCATGCAGGCTGAGGCAGTGATGGGTGATGAGGCAGGCAGGCAAGTGTTTAGGCATGATCAGGCAGGCATGCAGAGGAGTTGGGGTGATCAAGCAGTCAGGCAGGCAGAATGATTAGGTGCTATCAGACAGGCAGGCAGAGGGGGTAGGGGCAATCAGGCAGGCAGGTAGAATGGTTAGTGGTGAACAGGAACACAGGTAGAGTGGTTAAGGGCGATCAGGCAGGCAGGCAAGTGGTTGGGGCAATCAGGCAAGCAGGCAGGCAAGACGTTAGGAGACAGCAGTCCCAGATTGGGAGAGGGTGCAGGCCGAACTGAGGGACTCTCCCACTCCTCGTGCATGAATTTCGTGCACCAGGCCTCTAGTATGTATATATATTCTTTGGTTGATCTCTTCCCATCCTCCCAATCTTCCTGCCCTCTGAGATCTGTCAGTCTGTTCTATTTATCCATGCTTCACGTTCTATTTCTGAAATTTTATATGGGTCTCTGTATAACTTAGAATTGACCTGTATGGATGAGATGTCACTTTTGACAAAAAAGAGTTTGTTCTCTGAGAATACTAATAAGATTTTGTATCATTTTATCTAACTTTTATCCACTCTGCAAGTATAAAAATCCAGTTTGTAAATAAAACAACTAGCATACTAAACTTGTGGGTATGAATGTAACAAATACTGATTGAGTCCTACTTGATTTCCATAAACTATGTAGAGATAACTACAGAGATGAATAGACCATAACTCTTTTAAAAGCTTCACACTTTAGTTAGAAATATAGTTATGAATGAATAAGTAACGCCCATGTAATCCATATTCTGTCGGAAATGTGATGAGAATGACATAGGTAAACAAACACAGAAATTAAAGATACACATGAATAGAGTTAGATTAGAAAGAATGAGCTTCTAATGTGCATAGATTGAGACCAACTAAGAGCTGTTACCAAATATACCTTAATTTTGTTCTCTTATAGTGGCTAGTTGTTTCTGTGTATACAGAAATAATGATCTCTTCCTTTACTTTATATATATATGAGATCAGGCCACAGTCCTTTAGTGGTGTCAACTTCATATGGAAGTAAAATCATCATTCTTTCCTCAGCCTTATCTTTCTTACCTGTTCCTGGCAGAAAACAAATCATTATTTATTACATTAACTATAAAAATACAAAAATACTGAAATCCTTGAGTAAAATAGATATACATGTATAATTATGCCTAACCACACACACACACACACACACACACACACACACACACACACACACACATCCTTATGTATGTGTGTATATACTGGAGGATTTTATAATAAAAATTTTATAATTTTTAAATTTAAAAAAATTTAAATTTTTAAAAGTAAAATTGCATATATCTGAAGAATATTGTACATTTTTCACAAAGCATGACATGATTCTGATTTATTTCTAAACAAATATTTCTTTAAAAACATTTTAAAGCTTTTATTTCACACTAGAGGCCCAGTGCACAAATTTGTGCACCAGAGGAGACCCTCAGCCTGGCCTGCAGGATGGGGCTGAAACTGGCTCTGCAACATCCCCAAGGGGTTCCAGATTATGAGAGGGCACAGGTCAGGCCGAGGGACCTCACTGGTAAACAATCAGGGCTGGGGAGGGACGAAGGAGGTTGGTCAGGCGGGGAGGAACTGCAGGAGGGTTCCAGGGCCTGTCTGGCCCGTCTCGCTTAGTCCCGATCGGCCGAACCGCAGCAGCAAGTTAACCAACCGGTTAGAGCATCTGCCCCCTGGTGGTGAGGGCATATCATAGCGAGCGATTGAGTGGCCTTAGCATATCATTAGCATATTATTGGTTGAACGGTCGACCAGACACCTGGACACAGCATATTAGGCTTTTATTATATAGGATGGGAACACATATAAAGAGATTCCAGACTTTCTACATTGATTAATTTCCAGTATATAAAAATAGTAGCTCAGCCCTAACTGGTTTGGCTCAGTGGATAGAGCGTCGGCCTGAGGACTGAAGGGTCCCAAGTTCGATTCCAGTCAATGGCATGTACCTTGGTTGCAGGCACATCCCCAGTAGGGGGTGTGCAGGAGGCAGCTGATCAATGTTTCTCTTTCATCGATGTTTCTAACTCTCTATTCCCTCTCCCTTCTTTCTGTAAAAAAATCAATAAAATATATTTTAAAAAATAAAATAAAATAGTAGCATCTAATTTATAATAGAATACAATTTTTGCTTTTATTACCTGAGTTGGCTATATTTTGCTTATCTATAAATTAAAAATGCCAGGCATAGTCCTTAAATCTGCTATAATTATATTATTTCAGTAACTATATTTAAGTAAATAGTATTTAATTATTTTTCTGCATTAATGTAATCATACATGTAATTTGTTTTTCTCTCTAATCTAGAATAACAATGGTTGACATGGCAAATGGAACCTGTGCAGTTTACGGTTCAAGTTTTAAAGGTTACACAGAAAACTGTTTAACTCCAAACATATACATCTGCATGCAGAGGATTGTGTGAAGAGTTTATTTATAAAATAAAAGGATTTCAAAATAAAAATGCCATTCTCTGACTTTCTTCATGAAGAAAACTTTCAGAAGAAAATGCCACCAATATTTATTAAATATTTTTTCATCTGACATGCCATAAACCTTATACTTGCAAGAAATAAAAACTAACAATTAAATGATGTATCTTCTGTAACAATGTTTCATTTATTTTTAAATTATTGAGTGATGAATAAATTCATTTTCAATTTTAATAAACTGTTGATAATACCTATGGTAGAACTAAATTTTAAACTATGATTTTCTTAAATATTCACAAATATTAAACTAACTAGAGGCCCGGTGCACAAAAATTTGTGCACTGGCAGGGGGGTGTCCCTCAGCCCCACTTGTGCCCTCTCACAGTCTGGGATCCCTCGGGAGATAACGACTTGCTGGCTTAGGCCTGCTCCTGGGTGGCAGAGGGCAGGCCCAATCCCTAGGTGCCTGCCCTACAGCCCCTGGTCAGGCTCAGAGCAGGGCCGATTGGGGAGTCGGGGCGCCGCCCCCTGTCATGCACAGAGCAGGGCAGATCAGGAGGTTGCGATTCCACCCCCAGTCATGCTCAGGGTAGGGCCGATTGGGGGGTTGGGGCACCACCCTCTGTCACACTCAAGGCAGGGCCAATGGGAGGTTGTGGTGCCACCCCCTGTCACGCACAGAGCAGGGTGGATCAGGGGGTTGGGGCACTTCCCCTGTCACACACAGAGCAGCGTGGATCGGGAGGTGGCTGCGCCGCCCCTGTCATGCTCAGGTCAGGGCTGATGGGGGGGGGGGGTTGTGGTGCCACCCCCGTCACACACAGAGCCGGTCAATCAGGGGGTTGGGGCGCTGCCCCCTGTCACACACAGAGCCGGCTGATCAGGGGGTTGGGGCGCTGCCCCCTGTCACACACAGAGCTGGCTGATCAGGGAGTTAGGGCTCTGCTCCTGTCATGCACAGAGCAGGGCTGATCAAGGGGTGGGGAGCTCCTCCTTGTCATGCACAGAGTAGGGCTGATCTGGAGTGGGCACTGCCCCTGACATGCTCAGGGCAGGGTGATCAAGGGGTTGGGCGCTGCCCCTGTCACGCACAGAGCAGGGCAATGAGGGGGTTGGGGTGCTGCTCTCTATCACGCAGAGAGCAGGCGGATCAGGGGTTTGGGGCACTGCCCCCTGTCACCCACAGAGCAGGACCGATCTGGGGGTTGTAGCACCTCACAGCTCCGCTGATTCTGGGGCCCTGAGGCCTCGTGGCTCCGCTGATCCCGGTGCTGGGAGGCCTCGCAGCTCCGTTGGTCCCGGGGTGTGAGACCTCGCTGCTCGGTGGCTTCGGAGCTGTTTGGCTTCGCTCCACCGCTTGGAGCTTGCGTATGCAAATTAACCACCATCTTTGTTGGCGGTTAATTTGCATATCACCCTGATCCCTGTCTTTTATTAGATAGGATAAGGCTTTTAGAACTTTCAAACACAATACACTTGAAAATTACATATACTTAAAGCTGGATGAAAGGTATATGTGGATTTATTAAATTTGTTCTTTTTGAAGTATTTCTTAAAGTTAAAAATAATCCTGGAAAAGTTTCAATGTTTCCACCTCTTTCTCTTTTTGTTAATTAAATTTATTGGGGTTACATAGAGCAATACAAGTATATAGGTTTCAAGCATACAATTCTATGATAAATCATCGATATATTATATTATGTGCCCACCACCCAAAATCAAATCTTCTTCCATCACACATTTGACCCCCTTTGCCCTTTACTACCCTCCACCCCCCTTCCTCCTGGTAACCACCATACTGTTGTCTACATCTATGTGATTTTGTTTGTTTTCAGGTTTGTTCATTTGTTGTTTTCGGTTGTATATCCCTCATATGAGTGATTCAATCTCCATATGTTGCCTTCTTACATATACAATGACCAGGGTCTTCACAATTTCCATCAAATAACTGACCATTGTTCATATATTTGCAATGATTAGAGGCAATGTCAGGTTTTGTTAACTGGAGCCTAGAAGAGAAAAGAATTTCTATTTTTACTAAAAGTTATTTCATAGATCAATTCTATTCTTAAAGGTTACTATGCATTAATTAAAATATAAAAGAACATACATTTCTTTGACAGATATATGAATGTGTAAGTAATAAATAATATTTGTTCCATTCAACTCTTAAGGAAGGAGAATGGCAGAGTAGGGAACTCCAAAACACTGATCCTTTATTGCAATGGTAAAGCTGACTGTAACTGACTCAGAATTTTCAGAGATCTGGAATCTAATAACAAAAGCGACAATGAGCAAGTGCTTTATAAAAGAAGAAAAAAGTTTTAATCTTTTGGTGAGAGAGCATTTGTTTCCTTCAAAGTCAATGAACCCAGGTCAATGTTACTCAGTTGGTTAGAGTGCTGTCCCTGACACCAAAACTTTGCAGGCTCCACTCCCCATCAGGGCCTATACCAGGTTGTGCCAGAGGCAGCTCATTGATGTTTCTTCTCTCTCTCTCTCAAAAACAAAACAAAACAAAACAAAACAAAAACAAGTAAATAAAGAGAGATGCTAAAATTGTTTTTAATCCTAATTATTACCCCCATGTGCATGACAAAAGAGAATCTTTTATATTTATCTTAATAACATAGTAGGATGAATGGAGTACCTCCTATACATTAGCATTTTAGTAAGAAAATTGGTGCTATAAGAGCAGTTTTTAAATTTCGTGTCAGAACTCTTTTCAACTATAAAAAATTATTCTAAAGACCCAAAGAAGTTTTGTTATTTGGGATTTATCTATCCAAATGTGTCATATTAAAAATTAATTCTGTTATAGTAAAAATATTCACTCATTTATATGTAACAATATTAAATACATATACATTTTGTGTTAATATAAAAATAATTATATGCCCTCCCAAAATAGTGCCAACACTGTAATTTTTTTTATATTTTGTAAATCTTTAATTGTCTAGCATAATTGACAAGTGAGTTTTTTATATTTGCTTCAGTGTTTAATCTTCTCTGATAAATTATGTTACAATGTTTCAGAAATACTTCCATTCAATACTGAAAAAAGGAAACTGAAAGAGAAAAATCACATTTCAATATTATTTTGAACATAGTTTTTCCTTCACAGTCCTCTCATAAGTGTCTTTGTACATTATGTAGTAAATTATTATGATTCAGAGAAATAAAAATTAAATCTATACCTAGAAAATCAGCTGGTATCTACTAGGGTATAAATCACTAGCCACCATACTAAATATCATTGTTATTCATTTCTAAAGGTCAAATATGTTAAGAGTTCTATGTGAGTTAGAGTATTCAGTATCAGGTTTAATAGAAAACTTCACATTGTGGAATTTATCATCCAATTATATGCACACTAGATAATTAAGTAATATTGCTATTCTGGGACTGGTGTTTTAAAATAGGTGGAAGAGCACAGCTGGTGTGGCTTGGTGGTTGAGGTCAAAGTTCGATTCCCGGTCAGGGCACATACCAGGATTGCTGGCTCAATCCCCAGTGTCGGGTGAGCAGGAGGCAGCCAGTCAAGGAGTCTCTCTCATCATTGATGTTTCTCTCTGTCCCTCTCTCTTCCTCTCTTAAAACAATAAAAATATATTTAAAAAATTAACAATAGCTTGTCTATTAGATTATTTCAGCCATAAAGGACTCCGTCTGTTTCAAAATGCTTGCGATTTTCAATACATTTCTGCGGCTCAGTTTAATAAAGAGTAATGCTGGGAATGGCTTTGGCTTGAAGGTCTGCAAAAGCACATTTTTAGAAAATTCCAGGAGGAGGAAGATGGCGACTGGCAGGAAAGTAGGGAAGGAGAGAGTATGAGAGAGTGAAGGAGCAATAGAGGAGTGTGTGGATCTGTGTGGTGTGTGTATGAGCTAGGGACAGTTAGATTCTGCAGGTCTTCCAAGGGGCTGCCAAACCAGCTCGGACACTCCTGGGTAACCAGCACGGGCACAAAGACCATGCCATCTTGAGAAACAGAGCTGCTTGAGACTATGGTCCTGGCCTCAGCACCACCCAGTCTGCTCTCAGATGCAAACTAGGACCCTGCAGCCACTGGGGACAGAGTCCTGCGACCACAGCTACAGACCCACAGCCAAGAATCCAAACATACCAGCCAGCAGATTTCTGTGAGTAACAGAGCCCATTCCCCTCCCGCAGGCTCATGGGCAGCGCCATAGTAACTGGTAGACCCGCCCCTCACACAATGTGCACTGCTGCAGGAATTTGAGCCTGAGAGCTTGCAGTCACTGAGAATCTGTTCTCGCAGCACCTCGGCAGAAACTTGAGCCTAGGAGTGCTCAGACACTGGGAATCTGTTCCCCGCAAGGCAATCGGGTGACCAAACCCAGAGCCCATGCAGGGCGGTAGTGCCACCTGACTTTGATTATGGGCAAGCGCTCACTTGCCCCCGAGCTGACCGGGACCCCGATTCTCCAGGTGGGAGGCAGCACTAAGCACCAGTGACTTGACTCTGTTTCTTATCACATGCGCCTGGGGTCCCTGATTTCCTGTGCATTCACACTAAGAGCCAGTGACTCCAATTCTTGGTGCATGCACACACAGGGTCCCTGAATCTTAGCGCGAGGCTTTGATACTGGATTCTTGGGGAACTCTGACTCCTGGCACACGCTAAAGGGCTATGATTTTCATCACATGCCAGGGGGGTCTCTGTTTCAGCATGGTGCAGGCGGGGTCCCTGATTCTAGGTGCACACAAGAGGCCACACTGAGTGCTGGTAACACTGCTTCTGGGCGAAACTGGTTCCCACCAACCCATGACAGTCACACATCTTAGTGTTGGAGCTCTTCAGTGACACTAGGGTGGTGTGAAGCTCCCACTGCACACAGCCCAGGCCCACGCCCACGCCCAAGCAACTCGACGTTTGAACCTTCTGGTGATAGTCAAAATGGGGAGACGACACAATCCCCAGAGGAAAGAAAATGAGGAGTCTCCAAGAAAGGAAATTAGTGAAATTGAAGCATGTAACATGACAGAAAAAGAATTCAGAGTAATGGTTGTACAATTCATTCACCAGATGGATGAGAAAATCAACAACCTATG